AGCGCAGTTTCCTACGCGGCACCGCGGGTCGTCCTGTCCTGCGCGGTCAGGAGAGACTGCCTTTTAGAGCAGTGGTGTGCTCTGAGGGTCGCACTAAAGACAAGCTCTGGCTCATGACCTTCACAAAGGAAAATAAAATTCTGGCAAGCAGGTGGGGAGCTGGGCTTCACCACTCCCACTGGATTGGGAGCGGGATGCGACTCCCGCACGCCCACGCCGCTCGGGAAGCGGCGCTCCCCCTCGGGCGGCAGCGGGCCAGGAGCTCTGCCCGGGCAGAGCAGGGTCTGCCCGCCCGATCTCAGTTTACGGCCCAGAACAGCCGTCCATGAAGCGCCGCATAATCGCCGCTTTTTATTTATTCTGCATGGCTGTTTGAGGTTGACCACATCTGTTGCGTTTGAAATCTATTTCGGTGTCCCTGCACAGACCCACAGCACTCTCCAACTTTGCCATTCAGAACAACACAGACGACGTTGCCTTCAGCTGCCCCCAGCGCTGCACAGCCCAGAGCACCGCTGCGGCTCCGTCTCACTGCCTCCGACGGGCTGAGCTCACTCGGGGATGTTTATGGACCGGCGGAAAACAGCACAGGCAACCCACGATAAAGGCAAATCGCATTTATGTCTGTCTCAAGTATGGTCCCCATGAAGGGCACACACCCGCCAGGGAGGCTGCAGACGCACACGGGAGGGCGAGAACAGCCTGAAACCTTTAGCCAGAGCAGGTGAATATGGATCTCTGCGTTTGCCAAACCTACACTCACGCGTGGCCGGGACCCGCGCTCTCTGCACCGATGGACATGGACTGCGGGGTGGGAGAGTGGCTGAGAGACACTGGGGTAACCGGAGCCGCGTCTGAGCAACGTGGTTTGACAGCTCCAAACTCTGGAGCTGAACCCCTACACCACAATGCTCATTTAGCACCAACCTCTCTCCTACAGAGCAACACAAACCACACTCTTCACTGCTCTGAATTAACCTTATTTGCTTTGTATTATGCCTACTGCTATCCATTCCTCCTAGCTGTGGCCTGTTCTTGGCACATACAGGGAGAATAGCTTCCAGCTCCGAATCAGGCCTAAAACTGAGCCTAAAATTCTGCTTTACACAGGAAAACAGCTCAACTGAAAACATATTCCTGCATCAACCCACGATGTTGGGACCCTTTGAATCCAGTTATAGACTTCTTTTGGGCAAAGTCTATGTTTGCTCACATCACACCTGACTAGCTTAAAAAAAGGCAAGCTACTTCAATCTAAACATTCGTGTCAGACTACATTACCAAAAAACTAATACGAATGCGAAATATTTCAGAACAGTGACGTCACAATAAAAGGCGTTAAGAGCACAATGTGGGGCACAGCTCCGACAGTTGTGCTCCAGCAGACCTCCGCTACACACGCCTGCGATCTTGGCAGCACTCGGAGTGCTTCCTCCACCCCAGAACGCCCCAGAACAACCCAGCCTGCTGAAAGAATGCACGCTTTCTGGAAAAGCACAAAATAAATCGTCCTCGTTTGGGACTGATAGGCACCGCACATGGAACAGTCTGTGCTTCACCCCCCCAGTAAGACACACACTAAATTCCTCCTCCTTTCCAGGAAGGCTGAACCACCCACACCTTCAGATTTCTTGATAGGTGATTCTTCTCCCACAGCCAGAAAATCCCATCTGCTCCTCCCAGGACAGCTGTATTTGACCCCCCCCTCCCTCGTTCTAAAAAGGGAACACCTACCATTGGAAACATCCTGATCTTGTGTTCAAAAGCAAGAAGGAACGTTAACAGTATGTTCTTTTGGACAACTGCAGGTGCCTTCCTCTCCACTGTGATAACAAAAAATCCAACAAACCCAAAATAATTCCAGCAGGTTACTTGCAGTTCAAAATATTGCCTTAAACCTGCTTTGCGGGCTCTAAGCTTGAGCAGATTTTTCTCTTAGAGAATGTATATTAAAATTTCAAAAGTTTGAAAAATATGTTTAGGGAAAACACGACTTTGTTAAGAACTGCAGCTCTGCAGCTCCTCAGCGAGTGCAATTGCCTGGTCTGCACAGCAGCAGCGATCCATGTGCTCACTGCCCAGCTGGGTTTCTCTGTTCACCATTTCAGCGACACGTCTTCCCACGACACATTTCCAGACAGTTTTTTTTTTTTTTAATTGCCCTTTAGAGACAGCCTGGCAATGTGAAAAGGCATGTCTTGGCGGAACTGCCGCCTCCAGTTCGCGCTCGTTCCAGGTGGTCTGTGAGTGGTACCCGTACGTACAGTTTGCAGTTACTGAGAGATACCTCCAGAAAAACATGCTTTCTTCTCTCAGACCATCCCTTTGAGTAAAAAAGAAAACACGGAGCCTGCCAAGAAGAAAAGGAGTTCAGAACTGTTCACCTGCTATTGCTCAGAAATGCGCCACGCAGCACTGCAGTCCAGAGAAACAAGGCTTTGGAAATCCACTAATTCACAGGCACCTGCAGAACAGAAACACCACACCAGGAGCTCGAGCACTGCTTACTCTCTGCTCATCTTGGCTGCTGGCAGTACTGCCCGGCGGGGTTTGCAGAGCGCGCGCTGCCACACTAATGCGGTGGCGTAGTACAGTGACCGCGGGACGAGGATGAGGAAACACCAGCCAGCCAGCAAGAAGTTCTCAAGTGACTGGTATGAAGATTTCTAGGCTGGATGCCAGGAAAAACAGAAGCACCATCCCGCAGCCATTTTCCGCAGCGGCCCCCCGGGCTGCCTCGGCACAAGATGGCTACACCTCCGAATCTCTGGGTGAAGCCTGAGCTACAGACCCAGGCACTCCGGGACACTCCAGGCTGCACCCCGCAGGCTGGAAATGGCTAAAGGACAGAGTTCTCCCCTGCTTCTGGGGAAGGAAAAGTGCAAAAAGGCTGGGTTTTGTTTTGTTTTGGTTTTTTAAGGCACTGGCTTCCTTTTTCACTTACAGAACTACTTTAAAAAGTGCTCACAACCTTTCCCTCCCATTTAAGCGGGACAGAATATTCCCTGTGAATTTCACAGGGCTTCACTTCGTTCTCCTGACCTACCAGGAAAAGAAAGTACCTTAGGAGAGGGCACGAGCTGAACTCTACAGAGGCACCGACACACTCCCCTACGCTTTAGGCTGAAGAGAACCCTCAGCGAGCAAAGCTCATTCCCACATTGCTCCTTTGATCCCTCCAGTGCACTAACCGGAGAATCTGAAGTGGAACAATGAGCGCATTTAAACACAGATTAGAGAAAGCTCTTGAACACTTTCCATGCTTGAGTGCAGAGAAAGCGATGAGCGTTCTAGTGAGTAACTCCTCCTTGCTTACTGGCTGTCTGCGTACACAGGAGCTTAAGAATCACAGCAGAGGGGCTACAAGAGCATCGGCCAATAAACAAGACCAACAAGAAATAGCTACTATTCCACAGCACCCCGAAGGGCAGGCAGGCAAAGCTGCCCCCGCTCAACGCAAGGTCTTACGAAGACGAGCAAGACCACGTGAAGGGAACTGCAGTCAGTAGCTACTGCACGCTAAGGAAAACAAACATCAGAACCAGGCAACAGACCAAAAGACAGAACAGAGAAGTCCTACCGAAAGCCAGGAGCACGCTCATCCCCCTAGCACAACCTTCCCGTCCCACTGTTCACAGAGCCGTAGTCTAATTTATTTTTAAGCAGATATCGGTTAGTTACTCTCCACAATTTCTAAGCAACGTTTACGGATACGATCAGTGGTGCGTCCCTAGAAATGAGGCTGAAACCTCTGACCCTTTCAAAGACTTTCTGCTGTCAGAGCACATCTGCTGTGGGACATTTAGATGTTCAGGTGGATTTATGGTACACCAGCACTTCTGAACGTTGCTGATCTTCACTCAATATTATGCGCTACCCCAATTTTACAGCTTTCCTCTGTAAGGGTCAATACAATTTTTTAGAAGATGGCATTTCTGCATAGTCCAGGTGACATCGATTTTCTTGCTATGAAGAGCAAGACGTTTCTGCATGTTCCAGTGACTCACCAGTGCAAGCGAAGAGCATGGAGAAAAGCAGACAGCCCCTCCATGACCAGGAGAATTGCTACCGTCAGGGTAGCGAAAGCAGCAAATATGAAGAAGAGGCCAAAGCCTCCGCCCAGACTCCTCACGCTGAGGCCAATGTGGATGACCATGGTCCACAGCACCTCCGAGAGCTCTGCCAGGAGAAAGGGGAGAAGAGGGCTCGTTTCACAGCATTCAGGAAGAGTGGAGGTCTGTTACAGTTTACTTACAAAGCAAAAACCACAGTCAAGCAAACTCCCACTATAATGAGGTGGGAAACTTAAGAGGGACAACGGCTTTTGCAGCCAAGCACGTCAGGACGTTGCCTCCAACTGTTGCAGACAGTGCCGGGCAGAGCCCTTGCGCAGCAGCTCTGTGCTTTATTCCATGCTTTCAACTCCATCCCTCCCTTCCAGATCCGGACAGCTTTCAGCAGAGCACTATGCCAGCAGACACTGCTGTTCAGTCCCACCTAATGCACACACAGCTCTGTCCTTCTCCAGACAGCTGAGCTCCGGGGAGGCTACCTGCACCCCTGCGTTCACCCACCGCCCTCCCAGGGGAAACAGAGACAGGGATCCCACCCTCCATTCCCCGAGGAACACTCACGTGCGTGGGCTAAGCTGAGGGCCCACAGCCTCAAGTAGGACGCAGTGTTTGAGATGCACCCGAGGCAATACTCAATGGTGTGGATGGCCTGGTACACCACCGTGTCCCCAAAGTCGAACTGCAAAGAGAACACAGAAAATGAAGAGAGCTGCGAGCCCCGCACGCGGCAGGGGTCGGCCGATGAGGGAAAACGAGCACACTACCTGGTGCTATTGCCAAGGACACCGTGTTTGAAGTTAGACACTGATATTGTCTTCTCCTGGTTTAGCACCTCAGTTTTATAAATGAAAAATTAATTCTCTTGTCTTGCTAGGTTTTGTAGAACAATAGTTCACTGCTGCATCTTGAATATTATTGTTTTCACATTCTAGCCTATCAAAGTAAGGTATTTCAAATCCAGCCATCGACTTAGCCAGGAAAAGACTGTTCAGCAACAAGACGGTATTCGTATGATTTCACCGGTAAATTGTATGTACCACTACGGAAAAGGAGACAGTATTCTAAGTCAATACTGTGTGTGTACCTTTGCTACAGGATCAACAAGGGCATTTTGCAAGATATGAACTTGCCCTTTTTGAAAGCAAATATTTTTTGAAATTTTTGAAAGCACAAAGTAATCTTGAAAAAGTCACATCTGTGCACCACTCACTGGCAAAGTCTCCGTGTCTTGGTAATTTTCTGAAGTAATAAAAGAAGCACTTATAAGGAAGTCTGCCATGTAGGACAGTTTCTTACGTTGCAGCTTGGGAAAGCATTCCCTACATTTTGGACTCAATCCATGCTCCAGAAACTGCTCATATTTAAGTTAAGTGAACATGATGTTTTAAATACATCAAGTGACTAATGCTCTAAGCACGCACAGAAAGCTATTTATATCCTTATTTCTCCCCTAGTATATCCAGGGCAATAAATATTTCAAGCAATTAAGTTAAATTAGCTGTCAAAAGCCTAATTCTTTCTCCACAGAATGTGAACTGCAAAGTTCTTTACCGAAGCCCGTCCCAGTGAACAGCCCCACCTCCCAACACACACGGCAAGTCAGCGAGCAGTAAATGGAATGTGATAAATATCCAAACAATGACAATTTACAGCCACATGCAACTTCTGGAGAGACCTACCACTATGCTCGGCAGTGGGAGAATCAGCAGGATTGCTCTGGCACAGTATTTGTAGTTTCACACATTTTTCACCAGTTTAGCAATACACGGAATTAGCAGGTACACCAGCACACCGTGTCCATGCGCCCCCTCAACTCTGGAGGGGCCCCCGCACAATAGATCTCAAAGCAAAACCACTGTCAGCACAATTTACAACAGCATCACTGTTGTGAAGCTACTCTAATTTCATGGCATTTATATTTTTTGTAATAAAATTCGGTTACCTGAGAGCGTTGAAACCTATAATCAATCCTGCATGAGTATTCCTAAAAAACCATTTCTTTAGTACTCATACTTGTTACAAGTATTTATTAATGAGCAGTTCCTCAGAACGGATCTTCTCTTTTACAGAAAGATATTGGTTAGTTAAGTTGTTGAACTGTATGAAACTGGACTGTAAAAAATCTGTATTTGCTGACTGGCAACAACCAGCATCATCCTTAAAATGGCAGACAGTTTGGGAAAAAAGTATCTTTAAACAGTTTGTTGCAGTGCAGAATTACCAAAGACACAACATAAGGCAAACGAGACTTCTTCAGAAGTTTAAAAGCAAAAACTTTTTAGTTTCAGACTTCCAGCTTAAGAGCTTTCCAGGTAAACCAAGATAGATCTGCAGACAGGGGATAAGACAAACAAGCTGTATAGATGAAGTAATTAAAGGTCTGTTAATGGGCATGTATGTATGAAGAATTAAGAATGGCCTGTAACATGTAAATCGCTGGATCTTTTGGAAAACGAGATGTCGTGACGTAACATGTTTAATTCAGCATGTGCTTTACACCAATGGGAAATGGTCCAGATACACATGAACGCAAAGCTGGCTGTAGTCTTACCACCTCATCCTCCGTAGGCTTGAAAACATAAGTTTACATTTAGTGCAGTGTCTCAATCACAACATTAATCACGAACACATTCAGTAATTCCCTCCTACACGTGACACAGTAAAGCTGTAACACGTCACATGCACTACAGAGGCAAGACGCTGCTGGAGAATTAAGAGGCACCAGAACACTCCCAAACCACGCGAGTTGACTCCTTTTTCTTCTCTACCAGCGGTAAGGCAAAGCAATTAGTATTACCCCCAACAGTCAAAATGAATAGATAAACACGATTTCACTCCTCCAGAAATACAGCCCTTGGGTTTTGGCTGACACTGGAGAAGGCGGCAGCACAAAGGCACTGCACTTCAGCCAGAGCGTGAGCTACACGTGCCACCTGGGAGCGCCGCGCAGCTCCCCGTGTAGTCCCTAAGGTGACAGTTCCTTGTAAGGAGGCCAGAGCCACGTTCCCCTTTACATGCAAATGACACTGCTTTTTCTGGAGTCCTGGGAATGACCAAGAGACAGTCTGTATGAAAACTGCTACGAAAACACCGAAAGTGTTGCTATTTAGTCTCAAACAGCTTGGAAACCAGTAAATGCAGAAAACAGCCAGTGCGTGCTGCTAACCAAGCGCGCCGCCCCAGAGGGAGGACGGTCAGGTGCTTACCTCTTCCCCCTCCTCGGAGTGGGTAGATAACTGGTCATGTTGAATGATCTCAGCGTCCTCCTCAGTTGGTCCGTTGCCCACTCGGATCCCACCAAAGTTGTGCGTTCCCTAACACATGCAGAAAAAGAAAGAGCAAAGTGTTGTTTGTGTTTTACTGCGAGAGCGCGTGTTTTTTATGACTCCACGTGCAGCAGCAGCTCACAGAAGAAAACAAAATATTAAGTATTAAGGCCCCGGTTAAGCCAGCTGGACAATTCTATTTCCCCGCTTGGATGGGAAAGATGCTGATTCCTGCTAGGGCTAGGGAAAAAAGTCTGTCTGAATGAAGAATCGATACGTTTCTACAAAGTAATTGCAACCCTAAGTAAAATAAAAGGCACGTGTCTCAAGAGGACATTTGCTGGCACTGACGTGCAACAGACCAACGTTTTGCCCAGCAGCTGTCGGACAAGCACAGAAACACCACTGCGGGGGTAAATGGAACAAGTCACACAGCGGCAGCTCAACGCAGAAGGGGCTGACACCAACACACACACACACACACTCGCTCCCCAGCGGCGCCAGGCACACGAACGCCACACACGGGAAATCAGACTTTCCCTTACTTGCAAACGCTACGTTGCGCAAACAGTCCCTTTTATAGACATTTGCTCTGACAGTCAGCGTCTGACCCTCAGCCGTAACTCCATTGCACTCCAAATAGAAAAGAATAATGCACAAACTGAGATGAAACTTCGACAGACTCAGGAGTTTCCCCCGCTTGACAACTGCCATCTCTGCACAGCTAACATCTGATTCACGGCAGGCTTCCTGCTCCGGACCACCCTGCCACCGAGAAAGGATGCACAGACCTGCTGATCATCTGTCGGCGCCCTCAGGCAGAGCTTTTATCCATCGTAAACGCATAATGGACAACGAAAATAACCTGCACATCACTACCTCTGGATTTCTGTCAGCAAGCCGCTCTGAGCGCTGTACCTTCTACCTCCCTCCAGGTGCTCCAAAGACAGAAGATGCTCATAGCTGATCTGAGGGACTATAAATCGAGACCTGTGCGTCTGACACACCCAGAGAGGCAAACCGCAACACCACAAATAGAAAGAAAATCCCCGCACGCAGCTTTAGCCCTGTTCTGGGATCCTCCGAGATGCAGCATGTGGATGGGCCAACTCGACACATTAAGACTTCAGAAGTTTCGGGAGGACTATGCGAACCAAAGAGGCTTTAGAGCCTGTGACCAGTCCGCCTTCACAGCCCATCGCTCTGGCATGCCAGCGGAACGGCTCCTCGATGTTCTTTTAACCGATTTGTTCTCACAAGCCTACTTTTACTTTAGGCTGAACTATAGACTTGACCAAAATGCCAGATGTGAATTCAAGATTTTGTCAGGTTTTTAAAAACAAATTAGGCAGCCATTTATGCTCTGAAAATAGAAATAAAATGAAAAAGAAAAAATACATATACAAGTAAGACAGTGCTTTTATTAGGATTTTCAGCATCTTTGAAACATTACAAGTCACTGACGACTAGTGTCAGTGTCAGTACCCTATTTATGTATCGCTAGCCTGTCTGAATTTGCACTTTTGCAGCTTTTCCTTCGCACTCGACTTGTATCCTTCTCTGTAAACTCTCCAATCTAAACATGGCTCCAAAAGCTCTAATCGTTTACGTTATACTCCTAACCAGACCTCATACAAAGACCTTCCCTCACAGCTTCTTGGATTGAGATGCACTTAATACGCTGGATGGATTATGGCACAAAAGAGCCATTTTCACGTCTGACATTTCTGTGAGGCTGTTTAACAATGTCATGACAGAAACACTGGCCAACAGCTAAAAAGTGCCTCAGAGCGTGCACTCCACTCGGCAAAGGCAATGGGCTTCACAGTTTGAGAGATTTACGCTTCCCAGTTGGACAGGCAGCATTCACAGCTGAAACCCAGTTGAAATACGCAGTACTGGGGAAGGGACCTGGGAGCTGCTGCGATCTTCACTGCGCCAGGAAGCTTTGCCAGTAAAGGGCTGTCCACAGGTTTAGACACAAGTAAGGAGAAACAACTGCTACTGAGAGGCTTATTTGCGCACAACCATTTTATAATAGTTTCAAGTCAAAGTGTCTACAAGGGCCCCGGTGTCAGAAACCCAGTAATCACTGATATGAAGTTGTTGGGAGGCCATCACGTAAACATGATGTTTGGGAACACAGAATGCAAACAGAAATGCTTCACTGAGAAGAATCCTAATCTATCTTAAACAAATACGCAAGAAAAGGAAAAAAGGGGAACTTAACCTGGGGGGATGTGGCAGCAAGGTATTCTTGTGCTGCTCTGCAGGCTTTGATTTCAGCAGCACTCCTGCAAAGAAGTGTCTCTGCATTCTCTGCACACATAACTATTATCCTTCAGCCTGGTAGTTCTTCCAGAATGTATCAGTTTTGCTGAACTTTGCTCTTTCCAAGAGAAAGTGTTTTTCACCCTAAAGGTGCAGTTGTCATTCGCTTATGAAATTCAGATACATTCCATGCTCTCTTGATAATTAGATAGAAAGCCAACTCCCATCTTTAAATCCATCAGGCGATTTTTAAATCCACTCACTGTTGCAGCCGCTGCTGCCTCTAGTGCCTGCTCGTTCGGGACTGTGCTGACCTGGGCCTCCACGGGCTGCCCTTCCTGATAGTGAATGGAAGAAAAGAAAGGGAGGAGGAAGAAAACAAAAAGAGAAGGGGAGACGAATGGAGGGGACATGGGAGGATGAAAGATGGTCAGAGAAGGGAGAGGGAGTGTCTTTAACTGAACTGATCTTTGACTCACTTAACATCCTACAAGCTGTCTGCCATACATGCAGGGAGAATTTTCAAGTATCCTCAGTGCACGTGTGCCAGGTTCCTGCATTTTACATAGCGATACTTTACAGTACAGTGGGGAACCCAGAGAGCACCCCAGAAGACAGCCTCTCACACAATGACTGCGCAAGTCTATTTTTTTCCCTTTGTTATTTTTTACCATCCAAACTGCTTTAACAAAGGTAGCTGGTAAGTCTGCCAGCCAGTTAAGCTTACATCTCTCCTTTTACATTGTCAGCCTAGCGAAGGCACAGAAGTGCATTCAGCAACCAGTAAGACAGTGTTCCTAAACCAGCTGACAGCGCCCAAGCCAAATACGTTGTTTTTATCATTACCAACATAAAGGGTTTTTAAAAGCAGGTTTGATGCTGGATCCAAATCTGAGCAGCAGGCAGGCAATACTTTGTCTCCAGTAAACCCCACCTGCCTTTCTGCCTAGGAACGTGCAAAAGACGTTTTACAGGCCACAACACAGCGTGAACCTGTGTATCCAAGATCAAGAAGGAGAACATAGCTTTTCAACCATAATTAGCTTTCATATTGAAAATATAAGAGGTAGTCACCCACCAAGTGTTTTCTCCTTAAATACTGATGGCGAAGGACCAGGGGTTTAGCTACCAGCATCCACGGCACACACAGTAACGCCACCACCACAAGGAAACACTGGAGCCCTTTCTGTAAAAGAAACAAGTCTCGTGATTGAGTGGCAGTCTGTGCTGAAGCAAACACACAAAACCTAGGAAGGGGTCTTACACAACACTGAACGACTGAATTTGAGTATGTGGACGCTTCACTATCTCTCTCTTCTGGCAACAGCAAGATGTGCTGTACTTCACGCCTCATCGGACTGCACACAGCATGTAATGCTGATGTTGGTTTCGATTAGGGAAAAATCCAAAAGATTCTGCAGGGAATGAGAATTTGGCAGATGTCTGATAGCGCTGGGAGGAAATGGCGTTAGCATCTTAGCTGACCTTCGAGGCACCACATCGCAGATGCAGGACAATATTCCTAATCACTTTCCACAACTAATCTGGATCCAAATGTTCTGGAGCCACAACTGACCTATGTTCAGACTGATATGAACTCCTGGTATGAGGATTATTCCTTCCTTCTTCAACATCACATAGTGTCGGCCTTTGGAAATGATGCCGCATTTCCTCTACCAGACTGAAAAAATGTTTCATGCTTGATTTCACTAATTGTGTCATTATAATTACAAGGTCAATGAAACACTCTGATATCAGGAAGCATCCCTGATCTTACTCTAGCGAGAGCACGCACCTGCCCTTTATAAAGCATCTTATTACTGGTATCACCATAGGAGAACAGAAACATGTTGATAAAATGTATTAGGAGGCTCGGTGCATCCTTTGACGTGTGAGCATCATAGGCTGTCCATTTGTAGAAAATGAGAATAACAAGGTATCCAAACAGTGATGACATGAAAATCATTTCTGGAATAAATCCAAGGTATATGTTCAGTGGCTTCTTAAAATAGCTAGAGGGGAAAAAAGGGAGAGTTTAATATTTGGTTAGTATTAGGCACGCGTAGGGCAAAAACTTTTAATGAGAGCGTGAAGAACATCTTTGGAACAAAACTGCAGGGGCTCAGCATTTCAGCAGTAGCTGGGACTTAAACACAGCAACTACTGGACACGCACAGCTCTGCATACACAGACAGAAACAACTGTACTGCACTCTTCGATCAGAAGGTTAAAGTCTGATAGGCTCCTGCGTCCCAAACTCATACACACACTACACCCGAAGGCGTTTCCCCCCCACCATGAGAAAAACAGAGCAAAGCACTTACATATGGTTGAGAAGACTCAATGTGACACCAAAGAGCATGTGGATAATGCCAAGAATCACAGACATTTTCATCTTAAACGAATTGAGGAAGGCCAGCTTATTGCTGGCAATATTCCAAATCTGTGAAAAACAACACCGAGTCAGCCAAACACCGAGTAAAAGAAAAACAGAGGAGAGTGAAAACGTTCACTTTAAGCTAAACACTATTAACCATCCAGGAAGCATTAGGCTGCGAGAGCAGGTTTTTTTAAAGATGTGTTTGTCACACGGATATCTTTTGGGGAAATGAGTGGGCAACCTTTTCTGCCAGGAACACTGTCTTACAGCAACTGATCCCACCACGAGAGCAGGAATCAAACCCCGCTTGTTTTTATGGTAGGCAAAAGTTGCAGGAAAAAGTGGGCTGTATCCTTGACAGAAAAGAAATATGATTATCCATTTAAATGAACAATTACACACAGTTCTGATTTTCTGCACTTCCTCTTTAGTGTGGAACACAGGCAAGTTTTGTATCAAACATTCCAAGCAGCGTTAGGAGCAGTGTTATTGACGGGGGCAGATACAAAACGACAGGATTACTTGGAAACTTACATTGCCAAGAATGACCAAAAAAAAGAGATAAATAACTTTCCCCAAGGTAAAAGAGTAACTTCATAAAGCAATTTGCAAGTCTAACCAGATTTGATTAAAACCCTGCAGGTTAGAAAGGATGAGAAAGCAGCTTGTAGTGCACCTGAGAACAAGTCTCTCTATCCTGAATATAGTGTCTCACAGGAACTGAATTAATTTTATTGTTTCCAACATTGATAAAGAGTTTGCTAAAGGAATGGCTGGGCTGTGGAAGTCTTTCACAGTGAACTGGACAGGCACTTTTCTTTCTGTTGACACAGAGGACGTTCTTAATGGACCGCAAAGGAAGAGTTCTTACCGGGTCAATGCCGAAGGGGTAGGGTCCACCGAACACCCCTGGAATAGCAGGGTTCAGCTGAAGCAGAGGAGTAGTTTCAAGCAAGGCATCTCTGTTTGGGTATAAGCAGATTACATAAACATTAACACAAGCAATGCTGTCCTCTTTCTGTAAAAACCAACAACATTCTTCCCTTGCGAGAGCAAGGGATATCTCAAATTGAGAGAACTAAGGTTCCTGCATGGTCCTAAAGACTTTCCCAAACGAATAATAAACCTGGGTTTTGACCTGTTACTCAGTGTCACAAGGAAAAGAGATGCAGGGAACAGGAATCTTGCTATGTCTATGAGGAGAAAGGTGCCAAAGGGCATCTTTACAAGTTTTCTGGGAAAAAAAAAAAGGTTTGAAACTTGATAGATATCACATTTACACCCCTCTTCCAATTCTACTTGAGACCGAGTTCAGAAGTTTTTGTTTTCCTGAGTTGGGAGGACAACAGGGAAAGATAAGTCACCTGCTCGTCCCTGTCGCTCTTTGTCTAGTTACGAACTATTTACTCACGACCAATTGCCTTTTGTGAACATCGGCCGGACACTCCATGATGAACCAAACATATTAAGAGACTTGGAGAAGCAGTCATTGTAGATGAGGCCCGTGTAAGTGGAGAACAGCCCCATCAGCAGAATGATGTATCGACCACTGAAAACCATGTTGAACATCTAGTATAAACAGAAACAAAAAGGAACAAAGAAAGTCCATGAGAACAAGGGAGGTCTCTCACAAAGATGAAACAATAAAATCACTCAGTTGCAGGACAAACAATAATTGGCCATATGGACTAAAAGCCCCAAGTCTCTGTTTCCCCATGGCAGGGATTAGGGGTGCAAGAGGTAGCACTGCCCAACAGCAGCAGAATACAGAGGATGAACAGGCAGCGTGACTGTCCACAGAGGACCTGGGATTAGCCGAAGAGGATGAATTGCACTCCACGCACTGATGCGAGCCCCAGCTGGCAGCATTGGTTTGGAACTGGGCAGTGCAGACCCCGGTCAGCTTTCTCCACGCTCTGTCAGCGTATCTTAACTCCGGTTCACCTCCTGTCAACCCACGCCCTGAGCAAGCAAACCCCACCTAGATCAGCAAATAGGAAGAATCTGGGAGTTATAATACACACATAAAAAATTAGGAGTTTTGCACTGACTGAATCCCTTTATGATCCAACCAAGTTTTGGGCGATTTGTTTACATCAGCTTACCTACTACACTTAATAAACAATTTCCTTCAAATAACCGAGAGGAATAATTTCCCACAAATATCCGAAAGGAAAACCAAAGGAACTCTCTACTATTATCAAATTATGCTACTCGGCCTGTGGTCTGCAGGCTTCCCGGTCTGCCTGTGTGCTTCACAAGTTTCCAAAGTAAGGAGTAATGCGCATTGCCAGCTCAAGGGGGAAGGATGCGAGAAAACCAAGCTGCAACTCTGTTACCTCATTGTCGCTTTTCTGTGACAGAATACGACTTTCCCTGAGCACCATCCAGACAGCAATCAGAGACATCAGGATTCCGTGGCCAAAATCTCCAAACATCACAGCAAACAGAAACGGGAAGGTAATGATCGTATACGGTGCTGTAAGAGAAAAGACGGCACTCCTAGCGCACTGTATTTGAGTAAGCCCAGATTGACTACAGTACAATTTATGCAATTTAGCAATCTAATTCCCAAGCTTCCCCTCCGCTTCTGAGAGGTGTCAAGTACTCTCTTTGAAATTTTCACACAGGACAGACAATACGGAAAAACACCATGACTAAAAACTGAGAGAGATGTCTGGGACTTTTATAAGTATGAATTTACCTGGATTTATTTCCCGATACGTTCCAATGCCATAAGCATCAACAATGTTTTGAAAGCCAGAAGTAAACTTATTAGTTTTGTTGTATGTTGGTGGGGTCTGATTGGTTTGCATCCTGTTTAAAATAGATGGGACAGTGGATCCGCTGTGCTCCTGTTTAAAACAAAAAGAAAAAAAAAAGGAAGATTATAAAAGCCATCCTCAGAGCAGAGGACAGAGTAAAACACTACTTTCTCGTTAGCATTTGGAAAACTACAAGCTTGCATTTTTTAGTGTGCTTGCATGATGAGCAATATACTTGAGCAGCTGAGGAAGGCTGCCAAGTTTCCACTGCTCTCCACTTTGTACAGCAGGAGGAGAAGCACTTGTACAAAGGATGAACATTGTCCGATTAGGACAGACAAGAAAACTCATGCAAGAGGTTTTGTGTTTTGTTTTGTTTTTTTTTTAAACAGCAAATGAAAGGACTTCAAGACACCCAACTCTGTTGTTTGTCTATCTGAGGAGAGGGCGAGCTTACTAAAGCCCTGGATGGCACCTTTCAGTAAGTTCCACTGTCTATCCAGACAGCAGGACTACGGAGCACAGCCAGGTTAACTAAACGTACCAAAGGGCTCAAACATAGGAAAATGCATTACCATGACAGCATTTTCCTGAACTTAAAGCTTTAGACAATGTCACATATTTGTTATGAAGTTTATTTAACATACAGGAACCATGGCTTATAGATACAGTGCCCTCTGTGAGGACTCATTCAAACAGCCCAAAGGGATGGATTTCAGACTCACAAATCGGAAAAATCAATTAATCCATGCTGTGTTTGCCGACAGCGGCTAGTCTGCTTGAACGGCAGCGGTACGGCAGTTACTCACAGTGCCTCTCCTGAGAGCAAACTGGATAGAATCGAGGTCAGCCACAGGACACCAGACTTCAGCAATCAAGCACTTCTGTGTCACATCGATATTGCACAGATTCAGGGTATGGTAGATGGCCTTCATCTTGCGTACTTTGATGAACCAGACACGGATATTTTTAGCAGCTGCCTGCAAAACCCTTTGGCGATGATCCTCTGTTTGGTTCAGCACCTTTCATAGAGAGGTAGGATAAAGATGAGGCAAAATCATTGGCCAAAACTGGCAGCACACAGAAGTGCACAGTGAAATCAGGCTGACCTAAGACAAGCCTTACCCACCAGAGGATGGGTGGATGAGCCCTCTCCCCCACCCCATGCACAAGACTGCAGGCATGTGGCAATATATGCTTTAGTCTCTGTATTAATTAGTTCTGCCAAAAGGCTTCTTTCCATGGGTACTTTTTGACTACTTTTCTCCGCCGACTCCAAGGTCGGTGGGTACTTCAAACAATAAACTGCTCAGAGATCACAGAGAACATTTTTTCCTCCACCCAGGTTAAAAGAGCAGAGAAGAGTTCTACAAGCGAGGTGTACATTGCCTTAAGACAACACACAAAGATTACAATGAAAGACTCTTTTTTACCGGAGGGGGAAGGAGAAAGTGTTTTCCACTGAGGGTGTTTTCCAACTGGAACATATCTAACTCATGCCAAGTCAGATTTCTAGACTGGAAAGTCTTAGACTCAAGGGAAAGCGAGGACACAGGGCACATGCAGCTTTGAATCCTACTAGTTAAACTGCTTTTGAGTTCTTGTCCACTTTAAATTTACAAAACAGCTTGAGACAGTTTCCGTATAAAATAAGCAGTCCAAATTCAACCGTTTTTCCTTTTAGTTTCTGAACCTTTTCTTATTTTTCATCGCAAATCCCTTAAACTCTTCTGCATTATAACATACTGCCTTTCTTCCTTGAAGCAAGCATCAAATATTTCAGAGCTGGCACCCAGTAGGTTTGTGTGCTGATTACTTTTTACCAACACTCAGGCTGCTGCACAAGAGATTAGTTGTAAAGCAGAAGCTCTTCAGGACAGCACAACGTGAAAATACGAAGACAGGCAGAAAAAAGAACAGCTAAGTTAAAGTTAGCATTGTTATCTCAACTTGGAAATAAATTTAAATGCTTTCAAAGTTCTTGCAGGTGAAACAGGCAATTATACAAGCACACTTTCAGAGCTGGAAACGTGGTATCTCCTTACACATGCATATTCCTCTCTGCTCCCTGGCATGCAGTTCTCTGTTGATGTTGCGCTTACATGTACATAATTAACTGCTCAGCCCTCCAGAACAATCAAACCACCCCACCACCCTAAACCCCAACAAAGAAACAATGGAGCAGACAGTCTCCAAACACCTTTCTAGCACTGCTGAGCTGCTGGTCTCAAGCTATCTGGAGCTGAAAATAGTCATCTAACAGAGCCAAAAATTCTCCTTTTTTAATAGGATCCAAAGAAGTTTTCAACTATATTATTAAAGAAAAAAGGGCATTGACTCCAGTTATTTTACCATCTGAAGATCATCAATTCTGGTATTGACACCAGAAGCCATTTCCTTCCGCTCCTGTGGTGTTTCTGGGCATGGGTAGAGGGAGGCACGGAATCTGGAAGACATGCAAGCCCCATTAGTAACAGAGATGGAAAGAAGACAAATCAGTCAGGGAAACAGATGGCTGAGCCTGAACACAGAAATAAAGCAAGCAGCACCTTAAGAGAAGTTTCTGATCAGCAAAGACTGCCAAGCAGAGTTTCAGTCTTTAAATCAAATGGTATAGAAGTTTGCTTTAGTCCAAACCAGAAGCTGAATGCATTAGAAAACAGAAGTGGGAGGAAATCCTCTGTTCCCTGTACTGACAGCGTCGCACAGGGACTGTCACAACATCGATTAGCCATCCCAGGTCAGGGTGCTGCTATCATGCCAATGCAGTTGCTGCTAGAAGCAGTTACTGTTGGTCTCCCCTGTGAGAATATCACCCGCTGACATCCCACTAGGTCTGTCTGACAGTTCAACACAAACTCCCTTGGTTTTAGGCATTCTCTAGCAAAGCAGTCACCTACTTTGAGCATTACAGGCTTGGGAAGTGGCTAGTTTGACTGTAAAATGTGTTGCAACTATTTATGGTATGCTTAATTTGCTGTCAAAATATGTACTCCTATAGTCATTGTGAAATAAGGAGTTGAAAAATATGGATATTAAGTCATGTCAGTGTGTCTCAAATATTTAACAGCTGCCCAGCTGTAAGACTTTCATACCCTTCACATATCTTCTTGACTCTGTTCTTCAGCTGGTCGCCTTGGAAAAAGATGATAAACACAGACTTGTGCACATAATCCCCCTAGAACAGAGAATAGGGTGCACTGTAATAGCTCAGCTATTTACAGAAATTAGCATTATAGCAAATTACAAGAGAGTTCTACCTTTCCTTCCCCTGAATCTGTATGTACAGAGCTCACATCTGCACAGCGAGTCAAGAATGTACCTTAACAACACTGAAACAGTCATAAGGAAAGCAATTTTCTTAGCCTCAGTACAGAATACTCCTACCGAACTTGTGTTTACTGAAGCAAAATGTTCTAGACTATCTATTATCTATTCTCTGTAACACAATAAACAGGAAAACCTGGGAAGATCTCCAAAAGAACAGAGATGCAATGAAATACTTATCAGCACATACTGCAGTCAGTTCACCTACAGAATCAAGCAGAAAGCTAGAGAGTGAATGAAAATAAGATGGAAGTGGAGTTTAACAGCTTCGATTCTCCAGGGAGGCCAACGGCACATTCTTTGCACAGCTGTTTTCATGTTGGTAGCCAGGTCCCCTTTCCTGCATTTGTTGACAAGTTATTGTTCTACCTTACTTAGGAAACTTTAATGTAATGCTTCAAGAATAATTACATTAGGTGTAACCTCAATTTAAGGAAGTGCTGCACAATAAGAACAAAGTCCCTCCTGGTAGACAGATAATTCAACAGGTCAACTACCAGCAGTTGGTGGGACAAGAGAACCAGTCAGCCTTACGTGAGAAACAAAGGGGCAGTTACTGAATTTCAATGCTTCTGTCTTTGTTGCAGTGCAGCCTACACACAGCCTTTCTTTTTACTGGCTAAAAGTGAGAGTTCCCAAAGTTTGGGCATTGTCCATTGATTTGAGCAAAGAGGACACTGAATGTAAAACCAGGCCCAACCACGACATTTACTGTTTATATTTGTGATAAAGCCAACAATTTTCAGGTGGATGTTTAAACTACTGGTTAGCAAATTAAGAAAAATTAAAAGTCCGAGTTCAGCATGAATGAGCTACAGATGTTACACTGCTAATGTCCAAAAGAGCCTCTTTCAAGGAGGATTATTACTTATTCAGAACTGCATACAGGAGTTGCACTCGTAGCTTGTGCCAGAGAAGCAATTGTGCTCTACTGCAGTCCAAATTTTGAGTTGTTTTTCCCCCTTTCAACAGCACTCACCATCCATCCTGCTATTTTTGTTTTAATTAAACGGGAAAACATTTGTCACTAAAGCCTCGGAGGCTGCAAGTAGGTACTGTGAAGGGACGCAACACAAACGTTTGACTGCGTAGAGCTCATGGAGGGATAAAGGCTTAGATCTACAAGAAAACCCTTTTACGCATCTGAGACTTTTGCTGCTGTAAACAATAGTTCCTTTTACCGTTACAGGATCCTCCAGGGGGTTTTCAATCTCTGCTTGACGCAGGAACACGTTCCCTCGGCACACTCGCCACAGCATGCGCTCAAACATGGGGATTCGCTCACGGTTGATCACGCCAGCCACAAACCTGTAAAGGGGACAGCATAAATGTCAGTTCTGAACCTAAAAGAACGCACAGCCTAACACCCAAACCACTGACGGCAACTGGAGCGTAGCATCAGACTGAAAGCTACAAAAATCTTATTTTGAAATTAGTTCTTTAAGCAAAATGGAAGTTTCTCTAAATACATAGAGATAAAAACACAACAAAAACAACTGCATTACAGCAAAAGCTATGCCTTTTAACAGAACGAAATAGTCTATTAAAAAAGAAATAAACCACTGGTTAAACAAATGCATTTAGACATGCAGTTTCTACGCCTGCTAGTCTTCAGTTTAGTGGGTTCCTGGTACGTTACGTGGCAAAGATTACAGCAGTCACGCTACCACCGACCATGTTCCAGGCACACGCTTCAAAATGCCTCACTGGTTCAAACCCCTGTGTCCAGGTAAAGAATTACACACCGAGACAGCCTGCAAGCAGCTAATGAAGAGGATATAGAACTATACAGATTTTCTGGAGTATTATGTGCCCACAGCAGTTACTGGCTTCAACAAATCTGTGAGAGCGCAGAATGTCTGAAAAATCAACCACAACAGATTTTCAAGGAGCAAACTAGTAAAATTTTTTTTTTTTGTGCAGAGAGAAATGTGCAAAGCACAGAAATGAACCGGGAAGTTAATGTACATGGGACAAAACCAGAGGACAACAGCTAGTTTTAGACCGGCCTTCATTGGCTCGATGTGCCAGTCCGGAAAGTTCCACAACTGTGCTCAAACCGCTGTGGATGCCACAGGAGAAACGTGAGCCAGCAACCCTAACCCTGGACACAAAAAAGCAAATTGCCATTACCCAAGTCGTAGCGGGGCACCTCTTCCCATCTCGCTCGGTTCCAGGAGTGAAGAGGATTCCTCCAACAGGTCTGGATCCGCCATCTGCTGATGATGCAATTCAGCCTGAATTCACAAATCAATTAATATCTAATGAAAATAGTTAGTGGCATGCAGGGAACGAGGAACCAGGAGATAGTTTGGGGAGACAAAAAAAAAAAAAGAAAAGAAGAAAAAAAAGAACGAACATAAGACAGCAGAAAGAGGAACTAGATGGTAGAAAAGACAGCAAGAATCACACAAGGAAGGAGAAAAACATGAGGAAAAGTGGAATGGCCCAGCAAAGCTTCCACACAAGAAAGGTCTGGAGACGGATGCAACAGAGCAAAGGGGCTGTGGGATACATAAGTCTGAAGAAAGGCAGAATTCAAAAAGATTTATCAAGTTTTAAATACAAGTGATGTTCCCAAGAACCACTTTTTAATGGCACAAACCAGAGTGACACACCTTACTCTCATCTTCCCCTAGATCTTAAATGGAGAAAAAAGTGACGGTGGACGCTGCTTCCCTCTTGCACTACTTGCGCATTTTCTGCATATTAAAGACGCAAAAGGCATTTCTAAGAGGTGCCTGGGAAATTGTACTCGCATGTAAAGCAGCCTGGGAGTCTTGTTCTAGGCAAGAGGAAGAATGATGCTCAGGTTAAGTCCTCCACAGACGGCCTAGGGCCGCTTCCAGCTTCACCAGGCTGCACCCCTACAGCCAGTCACGCAAGACCTGCGCATCCTATACCTGTCGGCCTTCTGCTGTACTCCAAAGCAAAAACATTCATTTTGGAATTAGGTGACGATAGCTTGATTGATTCCACATTACTTGCCACATCAGGATAGATACAGGGTCAGAACCAGTAACAAAACCTGGAAGTACTGGACAGTAATTTTCTTTACTGGCTTTACAAAGTTCTCCCTCCAGGAAAAACGCACAATACTTCCAGCTTAAAAACAGGCTTCCCGATTAAATCTCTTCATTCTTCAAGATGTTTATCCTTATTCACTATATGCATTATCACCAGACACGCAAGATGCATCGCTTAGGGCAGTCTGACGACGTTGCTCCTTTTTTGACCAGCCAGGCAATAAAATAAGACAGTTTTATACTGTCCTTCACTGCAACCGATTTGCAGAATAAAATTCTTGGGAATATACCTTGTAAGTGGCAGCAGTTCAAGTCAGGAAGGATGCTCAAATCACATCCTCTCACGCACCATCTTCATACTTCAATCAACCCCCACGTCACAGTTATTTCTACCTCTGCAGCTTATATAGTGAAATGACGAAAATTACACTTCCTTAGCACAAAAAGAGGGCCAAATTCTACCCTCTGTGGTATACAGGAGGTCTTCCCCACAGAGCTGTCAACAGAACTTGCTAAAATACACTTGAAGGTAGAGTTTGACCCTAGAACACATAAAATGCATGCACACATACAGCGCAGCCTTGCAAAACCATATAGCACGTTTAATGACTCAGCCATAGTTGCTTTATTTGTGCAATAGTTGTGTCATAATTTTAGTGAAAAACTCCTCAACACTTTATTTGCATGCCAAATAAAAGCATTTACCATATACACGGAAAGTTTTTGCAAGGCTGACATCAAATGCAGGTCAACTGCTTGTACACACACTTGCTTTAGCTCACAGATGTTGCAAAAGTAAGGGAGCCCTTAATTTAGTTTGGGAAGCCAACACGAAGAACTGCTGATCCTTTCAACTTTAAGGCAACTTGTTGCAACATCAAAAATGGAACAAAAGTTTTGCTTCATAGAGAACACAACGAAAATACGAAAGTTTGTCACCCCAAAACAAAACATACAGACCAAACACACCAGTGATTATTTGATATCTAGATTTCAGGATGTTGAAAAACAGTAAGTTACAATTGTAAGAGGCTTGTATTGTATTTACCAGTAATCAAGATACTCTGATAATTTTTGTGAGGTGCACCACATTTTAGCATATGAAATATAGAAAAAGAAGGTTAACACACATGAAAACTTTAGATACGCCTCACCTGAGGGAGTAATTCTTACAGATATTTAATAGTACCTCTGACACTTTTGGGCTGTGCGTCCTTTACTCAGGACTCCGTATAAGCCAAAGACAAGTCCTGCTTAGAGGGGTTGAAATTACTAAACAAAGCAGCCTAGATTAAAGCTGGATTAGACCAGTTTTGCTAAACAAGAACTTTCTTACACAAGGATTATTTGCATAACAAAACCCAATGTTCTTTGATTCATCTCTCAATCACTTTGATTTGATGATCTCACCCTTTCTAGAAAGGAAATGGCATAGTGACATCAGCTCTGATTCTGGTGGGATAACTAAAGCAATGTTCTAAGATTTAACAGAAATAAAAAACTGAGAGACTATGCGGAAATGAAAGAGCTATCCAGCTACAACACAGAAAAACAAGATTCTAGGAAATTTACTTTGAGTAAGAGTTTTCCCCAACAGCGAGCGAAACATCATAGTTATTGTGAAGTACTTTTTACTATGTCAGGTCATTCAGGATTGGAAAAACCCAAGCATTTGCATGCCAGTAATTAGAATGCAGACCTTTCATTATTAAACATTTTTAAATTGCTTATTGTTCACCGAACCAGCAATCTCAAGGCCTGAAAAAAAGATTCATTTTCCCCACTCTCGATCATAGTTCTGCTCTGGATCACTACGCACAGTGCCATACAATTCAAGCCCCTTCCAGCTCACGAACAGAACAAAAATCAATTTTCACAAGAACTAAAAAGGATTCATTTCACCATCTAACTTATTAACCCAGAGCCCAGACAGGAATGACAGATGCAAAACAAAGAGAAAAAAGCAGATGGCGAGAAGAGTTAGAGGAAAGAGAGACAGGGGACTGCATGCCATTAACCATTACTTTTCCAGTCTTCTTTTACGCTCACACTCTAGGCAAAACTTTCAGAGAAATCTCTCCAGCTCATACTGGTCTTCATAAGCAAAGACAAGAAGACTGAGAAAAGGAGCATAATCATCAACATGGTATGTTGAAACAAGAAATGGCTATTTTGACCAGAACGGTCGTCAGAAGAACAAGCGACACAGTTTTGCCATCCTCCCTCGCCCAGTGCGCACACTCCGGAGAGCAGAGCGAACGCCAAGCACAACGTGCTTTGGATAGTCAGCCATTTCTTGTGCAACTCATTACTATGAATAACACAATCTTAATTACAAGTTATTGAAGTCTTCAAGTGTTGAAGGTACTGTGCAAATGACAGCATGAAATGAACCTGCACAAGGCTCGAAGTCCTGGAGTAGTCGGGATCCCTCGCGCACAGCTGTTTGCTGTTTGCAGCGTGAACTGAAACAGTTTTACCTTTTCAATGCTTACGCTTTACTGAACTTCACACATGAGCTGTTCAGTTTGCTTCTACATCTAGCAACATATTTTATTTGGTGTATTTTGTTTTATTATTACAGAAAACAGTTACCAAACAGCAGCGGGAACATACCTAAACGTTCTGTGGCCAGTTCATTTAAGGATGACACAAGGTCCTTTTTGTGGGTGACCTGACACAGACCGTTTAGAAAATTGGCTTTGATCTTTAAATTTAGCATGAAGAAAAAAAGCAGGAGGCAGCTCTCAGCAGAGAGGACAGTAATGAATACAAAAGCACGCAGCACGAGCTGGTACTCGGTTTTACTCAATAATCAGTTGGAAGAGGCGGGCAGGGGCACCTTAACGCAGCAAAGTAATAGGTTATCAGGTTAATGCTGTTTGTCCAAGGAGACACTTGTAAGTGAACATTCAACACTCGAAGACAAGGTTTTTTTGTACTGAAACCAACCCCATGACCAATCAACTGATCACACTAGCAGCAGTATCTATGTCAGCAGTGACTAAGACTTGTGTTGGCACAGGAACAACCGCAATGCCCGAGCAGGCAGCATCCTGTGCCAGAAAAACCAACACCAAACCGTTAGAGACACGGTCTGAAGTTTGCAGGAGCCCAGCTCTGCTTGATCACAGCCCTTGTAACAGATACGGCTTCTGGCCTTTAAGAACTCTTTGATCAAACCCTCGCATTAGAGGAAACAGGACATGTACTCGGCAAAAACATGTCCTTACTGTTCTAAAACACGTACAGGAGCTCTTTGAGAAAACTCCCAAGACTCTGAGATATTTCAGCTTTACAACAAAGGATTACATCTTTTTTCCCATGCAGGCTTTATGTCTGTGTCACGAATGGCATCAGAGAAGCTCTTCTGAGGTCCAGTGAAAGAGCAGCCAGGCCCGGGGCTAGCTGGTATTCGACAAAACGTTGAAGATTTTTAAATGGCAGCTTCGCTCCAGAACTTACCTCTGAAAACTTTAGGGTTTGATCAAAGGCTCAATTAAATAAATACATAAATCAATAATCTATTACTTCAGTGGACTTTGTATTATGACCCTAATGAGTAATCTCCATATAACATTTCAAAGGCTGAAGAGAAATTAAGCTTGATTGCAATATCTCTGTGCAAGCGAGGCATGACTGTTTATCTGCATACGTCCCAAAGAAACTCTTACCCGCTGAAGAAAGTGCTCACTGTGGCACCAAATTTTTAGTCTGTTGATGTGCTTTTAAAACCATCTTAATTATTTTACACAATTTTTAGACAAACCACTGCTTAACTAAAACAAACCCAAGACAACATCATAAGAGGTAAATCACGGGTAGCTATGCGCACTGGATGAAAAATGGAGAATAATTTTAGAAGCTTTCTTAAACAAAGCATAAAAATGACCCTGCTGTCCAAAACAGCAACTAAAAATATATTTGAGAATAAAAATGGTAATTTGTGAGAGAAGAACCAGCTGCCCAAGTGTTAACCCGCCCCCGGTATTCTGACCTCATCAAAAAATTGCTGAGTTTTACGCAGTATAAATTTTAATTCTGTCAGCTCCAAAAAGTTTCTCTTCAGAGCTTCCTGGTTTGTGTTGATTTCCTTGAGCTCATTTTCAATTTTCTCAAAGTTTGCCTGCAAGATGGGAAAAGAAGAGGACAGAAAAAGGACTTAAAGCAATAAAATAAAGAAGTGTTGTTAAGTCAGTTAAAACAAGAAAGCAGGCAAGATGCTTTACATTCCCATGTGATTTGCATACAATTACAGATTGCCCGCTGTGGCACACAGACGCAGAGTTGTGCCATTCTCTTCAGGCAATGTGAAAGTTTTCATACTCAGACAGGCTTTTATAGGCTGCATTTATTCAGTGTTCTTTAAGTCACTAAAAGACCCTCATAAACCTTATGACAGACCCACCGTAAACCATGCAATTCCAACAGTTTTTGACTCATTTAAATGGGTGAAATTTCTTTGAAGTACTTTCACTTCTAACTGTATTTGGATAAATGCACGAGCGAAACAGTGCTTGTGAATCAGAATCAACATGACGTGAGCTAGCAGAGCCAGCATTTCGGGTGACAGCTGGGGACTATGACACCTTTGCCACTAAATTCAACGGGTATCTACCAACAAAGGTAATTTCATAGAATCGTCTAGGTCATCGAGCCCAACCATCAGCCCAACACTGCCAAAACCACGTCCCTCAGCACCACGTCTGCCCCTCTGTTAAATACCTCCAGGGATGGTGACTCCACCACTTCCCTGCGCAGACTGTTCCAATGCTCGATGACCCTTTCAGTGAAGAAATTTTCCTAATATCTAATCTAAACCTCCCTGGCGCAACTTGAGGCCATTTCCTCTTGCCCCATCTCTTGTTACTTGGGAGAAGAGATCTGTTTCCACCTAGAGTCTTAACTTGAGTCTTAACACACATCATTACCTCCAAGTCAATCATGTCACGTGGAAAAGGCACCTCCGGGTTTTCACCAGTGTCCATGATAGGAATATTTGCTTTTTTAATCTCCTTCTCAACAAACCCTGGAGAGACAACATTGTTAATGTTAACTAAAAAGATACTTCCATGTCAGACTGTCACCATAAGGCCACCCAGCCCGACCAGCAGCTGTGAATTCTTTCACCTCCTATTCCAAGAGCCTCTTATTTGGTTAAAGCTCTCTGCCAAGCAGGGAGGCACCCCTGCAGGCAGTCTGACCGGCTGACACATGGAAGAAAGGCCACCACCGCTCCTCCTCGGCACTGCTTTCTAACGCTGCCGTGCAGGTTTAGCCTGCCTTAATTATTTCCCCTGTCAAAGCTACGGAGCGAGCGCCACATCAGACCCCAGAGAGACACGTACGGAGCTTTCGGTCCATTTCTTCGCACCTCCTGACTTCATTAACGAATTTACGCTGGAACACGTTCACGTCCGGGTTCAGCTGCGGAGAGAGAGACGGTTCCAGCACGGCCGCGGCCGAGGGCGGCGGGGCCCGGGCCCCCGGGAGCGAGGGGCGGG